TTATGGATGAAGAAACTGAAGCTCAGACAGGTGACTTGCTGGAGGTCAGGCCACTCGTACACTGCAGAGCTGGGATTTGAGTTCTCTTGCCTAACTTCGGTGCACAGCCACTGAATACAGCTTAATTTTGGAAACTTTTATATTGAGGAAAATTTTCAGCATACACCCAAGTAGAGAGAATAACGTCACAAGCCTCCAGGTACCACCAACCAACGTCAGCAGCCGTCAGCTGGTTTATACCTTCACCTATGATTTTGAAGCAAACCTTACACCTTGTATCCCTGTATCTGGCCACATTGTAATTTAATTCCCAGCTTTCTCCTACCCTGCTGCCTCCTGATCAAACCTGTAAAGCTCCCCATGGTTAGAGTGGTCATTACATAAAAATAGAAACTGCTTACAAAGGGAACACTGAGATGCCCACCAGCCTGCCTGTGGTCTGTCTGTGATCACAGGCTCCCTAAGAAGTTGCATGATTATTCTTCCAGGTTTTCCATAGATGTGAGCGTGTGGGGAGTGAGGGATTAGCATTCCATAATGATATCTTGGTGCAGGATCTCAGGGCTGGTGCAGATGATTCTAGTGGATGGGGCTGGGGACAGGAGAGTCCACGGTGGAGATTTTAGCAGGTAGAATCCCTGGGTAAGTTTTCTATTAGTGCAATTTGACCCTTTGGCCTTCTAGAACCAAATGGTTCCTCCAGCCTACTCAGTACCATCAGGCATAGACCAGTTTCAGCTCCTGAAGGGCGTGTGTCCTCACCCCGTGGGAAAGCTCCCTTCCCTGACTTTGATCCTGAGGACCTAATCTTTGGCATGCTTCCTTCCGTTTTCTTTTTTTTTTTGAGTTGCAGTCTCACTCCATCACCCAGGCTGAAGTGCAGTGGCACACTCACGGTCACCCCAGTGTTGACCTGCTGGGCACCAGAGAGCCTTCCACCCCAGCCTTCCAAGTAGCTGGAACTACAGGCATGCACTATTTTGCCTAGCTAATTTTTTATGTTTTGTAGAGATGAGGTCTTGCCTAGTTGCCACGGGCTCAGGCAGTCCACTTGCCTCAGTCTCCCAAAGTGCTAGAATTACAGGCTGAGCCACCTAGCCCGGCCGTCCCCTTCCCTTTTCTAGCTGGCAATGTTCTCTTCTCCTGGCACCCAAGCCAAAGGTGACATTTCCTGTAGCCTTTTGGCTACCAGAGAAAGTGGGTTTATCCATCGTTTTATTCACCCAATAAATGTTTGCATGACCCAAGATGGCACTGTGGTTAACAAAACAGTCATCTCCCCTGACCTTGCTGGTCCTTTGCTGGGGTGGGAAGGGTCCAGGATGCCGCCCAGAGTTACACGGGGCCCAGTGCACACCCTTTTCCCTGGTTAGGTAGAATTTGGGCACACACTACATCATGATGCTAAAATAAATTAACCACTGCCTCCACTGTTCACCAGTCTCGAAACTCCTGGCCTCATCTGATCCTCCTGTCTTAGCCTCCTGAGTAGCTGGGATTGCAAGTATGGGCCACCATGCCCGGCCCTCATCTAGAACATTCTCTGAGTGCTGGGGGGTCTCATTTATTTTACATACATTTGTATGTATCATGTGGAGACCTGTGGGTTTACCAAGGTGGACCTGGGTTGAAACTTTGGTGACCTGACTTGTTAGCTGTGTTCTCTTGAAAAAAATCCTTGTCTTCCCTAGGCCTGTTCTTTGTTTCTGAAATGGGGGTTATTGTGCAGCCTACCTAATGGGATGGGCATGAAGAGGGACGGAGGTTGTGACTGCCTTGTCCAGCTCAGAAATGCAGCATCTGTTTCCTGGGGCCGCTGTAACAAGTTCTATAATTGGGTCTTAAAACAGTAGACATGTATCCCCTTACAGTTCTGAATGTTAAAAGTTCCAAATCAAGGTGCTGGCAGAGCCACACTCCCTCAGAAGTCACTAGGAAAGAATGTTCCAGGCCCCTCTCCCAGCTCTTGGTGGGACCCACAAAGCTGCAGGCATCCCCTGGCCTGTGGAGCCTCCATCCTCATGGCTGCCACCTCTGCTGTGTCTGTCTTCAATTTCCCTCTTACAGAGGGATCAGAGCCCACCCTAGCCCACCGTGACCTCATCTTAATTGACTGCATCTTCACACTTGCGGGTATCAGGGGTTAGGACTTGAACGTAGCTGTTGGGGAACGCGATTCTACCCATAATGCCAGCTGTCACTCCATCCATCTTTAGAATGTCCTCCTCGGCCCCCTCTCCTTCCCACCCCCAATGACCACCCTGTTTCTCTGTCTCTTTAGAATGACCTACTCTGAGATCCATCTCCACTTTCTTCCCTCCTTCCATCTCTCAAGCCATCCACACTTCCCTCCGCCTGCCTACTCTGAGAGCTGTCTACACTCTCCTCTCTCCAGCCTACTCTGAGAGCCATCTACACTTCCCTCCCTCCTGCCTGCTCTGAGAGCCATTCACACTTCCCTCCCTCCCACCATCTCTCCAGCCATCCTAGGTCCCAGCCATGCTTCCCTCTCTGCCTCCCAGGGCAGTTCATCCAGTTCTGTCTCCGATAACCATGTATTGACAAACCCAGGGGTCCATTCTCTGACCTTTGTCTTCTCCGCCCAGTGGCAGGGGTCAAAGTGGTCACTCATCCTTGGCGTTGTCACTTGCCTTTTGTGCACTTTGCCATTTTTGGTCTCACTGACCTCCCTGTCCCCTCTCTTGCAGCATCCCTGGCTGCCTCTTTGCTCTCAGTTGTCCCCTCTCACCCTTCTTGCTCTGTGTCCTGGGGGCTGATTCCTGCAGACACCTTCCCAGATACCTTTGCTAATAAGCTTCCAGGGAACTCAGAAGACAGGGTGTCCTGGGGGGAGGCTGCAGATTGGCAGAGGAGCAGCCTGTGTGTTTTCTGACTCTGAGAAGCCCCTACGCTATGGTGGCATCTCCATCATTCCAGCTCCCTGAGTGAGGGAAGGTGGTGGGCTTTTCTGTGCATTATTGAAAAGAATGGAAGGGAATGAGTGGGCTTAAGAGCCATGTGGGATGGTCCGCGAGGGCGGGACACATGTGGGGCTCTCCCAGGATGTAACCATACTGGTGGGCTTTGGGCTTGGAAGGGACCTAGCTCTCCCTGGCCTTTAGCACCAGGTTGGCCTGGTGACGTAAGCATCCAATGAGTCCAAATAACTGTATGTACTGTCGAAATGTCCTACATATATATGAAATAGCTATTATGTAAATTACACATAAATGAAAGAACTTATTTCTGAGTTTGCCTAGAAGAGCAGCTCTTAACCTTTCTTGGGTGACCTTCTTTGAGATGCTGATAAATGCTACAGATCATCTCTCTGGGAAAAAAATGCACACCTGCATAAATTGATGGGGACTTCCTGAGGTTTCTGAGAGGTCTATGGATCCTACTTTATTGATTTTTTGAGTCGAAGTCTCTCACTGTTGCCCAGGCTGGGGTGCAGTCGCAGGATCACGGCCACCGCAGCCTCCACTTGCTGGGCTCAGACGATTCTTCCACCTCAGTCTTTCAAGTCGCTGGATTTACGGGCGGGCGCCACCACAACCGGCTAATTTTTTAATTGTATTGTAGGGACGAGGTCTGGCCAAGTTGTCCAGGCTGGTCTCAAACCCCTGGGCTCAGGCAGTTCTCTCGCCTCCGCCTCCCAAAGTTCTGGGATGACAGGCGTGAGCCGATCCTGTTAGAACATTGATATTTCACATGTCACCCTGGACACAGGGAGTCTGGCAGGAGGATCTGGGTCACCTGGAGCAGGCGTCGTTGTATATCATTGGAGTTTCTCACATGCTACACGGATACATTTCCACTTCTTCTCGGGATTATACAAATGCTTTTCCAATCATGGTGTCACCGATGGTTGCGGTAATGCTGCTGGAGCAGAAATGGACAAGCCGAGAATGTGCGCGTGCGTTTGCGCGTCCAAATGCTCCACACTCAGCCCGTGAGCTGGTGCTCTAGGAGCTGGGCGGAGGGTGCTCCATGGCGCCCCGTGGTGGCGGAGCTCCTTCACAGCAACAGGCGGCGCGTCTAGGTTGGAGCGGAAATTGTCCGGTGTTTCTTTCCTTCTCTTGAATCCGAAGATTAGAAATGCCATCTTGGAAATATTAGGGATTTGAAATGTTGCAGTGAGGGTGTAGGAGAGAGCGTGTGTACTCTAGTGGTGGTACGCCTCTCAACCGCTCTGAGTCACTTGGCAGAATCTGTCAAGGCCAATGTGCCTGCCCCATGGCTGGGTGCTTTCCCTTCTAGGAGTCTACATGGCAGAAAAACTGGCATGAGAGGGCAAGGAGACACACACACACACACACACACACACACACACACACACACACACGCACACACACGCACACTGGCTGGGTGCCTTCCTTTCTAGGAGTCTACACGGCAGAAAAACTGGCATGAGAGGGCAACGAGAAACACACACAGAGACATGCACACACATGCATGCACAAACACACATGCACATACACATGCACGAACACACACAGCACATGCATAGACAAGCCTGCATGTATGCACACACAATACACACACAGACACATACAGATGTACACACACAAGGGCATTTCTAAATAATACTGGGTATAGTAGCAGAAAAATTGAATGACATGCATATTATGGAACACAATGTAGTTTTTCAAGGCGGTGAGGCAGAGTTCTTTGAGTTTGCATGTAAAGCTTGAGATGGCGTAAACGTTGTGAGATGTCTGTCCTATGATCTACTGCAATAAAACAGAAATAAATATCCATAAAACAAATTCTAGAAGGAGACCTACAGACTTTTGAAGAGTGATGGCTTCTCTGACATAAGATTGCAAAGGCATGTGGACAGATCCCACCTTTTGCTTCATAAGTTTCTGTTATATTTGAATATTTATACCTGACACAGATTCCAGCAGTCGTTTTTGAAGCAAATCTTTTTATTTACATTGGGCAACTTGTCTAATGTTCTTGTTTTGTGTGTGTTCTCCCTCTGTTTTCCATTTCAGATCCTCGATGAATTCAAAAAGGATTCCTCCGTGTTCATCTTGGGGTGAGGCAGCTCTGGGGGGGTGGTGTTCAGGGTAGCCATGGCAGACCTCGGTGTCCTTGTGTCCAGCTGGCCTCTGGACGGGGTCACTTCTGTGTGTGGTTACTGATCACTACTGGAACAGGGTGCCTCCGTTGGGGGATTGGCCATCCCAAGTCTGTGGCATGGATAGTGATGAACTCTAGTAATGGGGTTTATGCACTGTAGGGAGGGTGGTCCAGAAGGTTCTATGGCAAAGCCTGAGTGGATCAGTCTCCTTTCCCAGAGTATGCCTCGTGGACTGTGATGCACCGGTGAATTGGATTTTGATAAAAATTTAAGTAATGCTGATGGCCAAGTAAGTCTGGTTAGGCAGGTGTAACTGAATTAAAATGAGTTAAAGTGTATAAAATGCTTCACATCGTACTTGGCATGCATCCAGGGCTCATAGATGGCATATTATTATTAAAAAGTCAGTGCTATGGGACTTTTCAGGACCTTTACCATATTTCTTGATTCCCTGAGTTGGGGATTTATGAGATGTCCTGTGTTTCCTCAGCCTGTCTGACTGAGAGAGATGTTTGCCACAGAACTGATGATACTCAGAACGTGGTCTGTGGCACACGTGGACCATTGATGAGGGACTGTTCCCTCTGGCACTTTCTAAACCAGAAGCCCCAAGACTCCAAAGTTCATATACAACGAATCTAACTTTTATGTAGCATTTCTTTTTTTTTTTAATCAATATTTTTCATTATGATCTTGTGGGGTACAGTTAAGGGTTAGGTATATAAATATGCTTCGTTCAGGCACCCTTGTTGATAAGAGGTGTCTCCCTGTCCTCAGACAGATATTTATTACCATTAATCCCATCTCCCTTCCCCTCCCCCCTATGTAGTATTTCTATGAAAAGCTTGGAGTTAGACCAGGTCATCATAATTTGAGGCAACAAGCCTTCTGGACCTGAGTGGCCAGTAGAGGGAGACTATCTTCTGTAATATTGTGATGAGACCTCTTCCCTCCCCCCACTGCCCCTCCCCC